TGTCTAGTGTATCAAGGTATTGAGCAAGGGTGTGAGAGAAACAGGAATTGTGAGGGTGTTGTAAACCAAAGTTGTAACCTATCTTGGGATCACCAAAGAGGATGTAGGCAAATTCCTAAACCTCTATAAACACTTGTGTCATTTGTGCTTGGTTATTTTTCTTGTGAGTGTGTAAGACTCATCCATCATTGAGTTTGTCCAAAATCCATCAACAACAAGGTCTAAAGGGGAGTGAGTTAGTTCTAATTCACAACAATTAACGCATTGAAAAAGTCATGCCCATAAAAATGGACGTCCATATATTAATGGAAAAGGCTTGGCTCATGTTCACCGTTTTGATTTTAATCCTGTGATGGTAAGGTAAAGTTCCCCATTGGCTTGACAACCATTGGTGGTCAACAAGTCAACTTTCTTTTATGCGTGAGCATGCCACTGCTAGCAGTTTGAAACCCTAACAGACTTCTAAAAAATAGATAATTTGCGCCCCAAGGTACTGATTCTTATTCACAATTTTTCACAATACAAAATTGGTAGTTCTGGCCAAAATAGATAAAAGGAAGACAAACTGTTTTAGGTAGAACTGCCTATTACAGGACTCAAAAAGCGAAATGGCAACTTCAAAAAAGACAACAGATCATTAGACTTCGATTTCTGCCTGGGTAGCTGCCTCTGAACTGGGCTGGATTGGATGTGTCTATGCTAGATTGAATTGTCAACACCTTCAACTGATGAGTTTCAGCTGGAAATTGATATCAATGTTTGAGTTTGGCAGAGCTTCAATTTATTTCGAGCCATGGAAGGCTTGTTGAATGGGCAGAATTGAGGCCTTTTTGGTCTGAAGAGGACAGAAGTAGCTGGATTGATGGTCACTGAGTTGGAGCTGCGCTACAGTGCCTATTTTGTTTGACCAAGGCTTTCTGTAAATTTGTTGAGGTTTTCATATTTGTAAAAACCCGGACTCTGCTTGATTTGGCTTTATGCTGAACCAAATTTGTAACGAGAGAAATCTCACTTTGTAAAACTGTTTCTCTAAACTTAATTGAAAACAGCAATTTGAATTCTAGCTTATTTGTTTCTTGTGGATCAAAGAGCTTTTTGGTTGCTTCAGTGCCTGAAGGTTTCCTGAGATCAATTGATCTTTTTGATTTTGTCAATATGACTTTGGGAGTTTTTGTCTTGATTGATTTTTTGGTTGTCCTTGATCGGTTCACCTCCTCTCACATTTATAGGAAATGCTGGAGTGGAGTTTTTAATTTTTAATAATGGGCGGCAGATCTTTCAAAATATCTTTCTTTTTTAAATGCCACAAAAAGGTAGGTTTATTATTTTGGTAGAGGAGAAACATCAACAGTCAGTCTTCATGGTGGTCTTTTCCTTGCTTTTCCCTAAAAGAAAACCAACTCCTTTTGTTCTTTATTTGTTCCTTGCAAAAGAGAAAAAACACAATCTGCCATGATGGTCAGTTTGCTTTTCCTGATAAACAACTCCCTTGCTCCCTACTTATTTCTTGAAAACGTAGCTTACTTATCTCTTGGAAAGGTAACCATCTTTGGTGCAGAGCTTCCCTATATGTAAAAAAAAGGATTTGATCTTCTTTCTTTGGCTGCAAAAATGGAGAAGTCCTCTTGTATGACCTGCCTTCATTAACTCCCTATCAACTCCTCTATGATAGTTGAAAATTTTGACTTTTCAAAATCAGGAAGTCACGTGGGGCTTTTTGAGAAAACATTTTTTATTGTGAAAAAGATCTGCTGACTTGTTTTTTTTGGAGTTGAGATTAAGTGGTGAGAATTTTTTGCTCAAAAAAGGTCTGGGATTTTTCAGTATCTTGCTTTTTGACTTCTAATTCCTGTAGATAAAAGCCCAAACGTTCTATTTATAGACATTTTGACAAAAATGGGCTGGCGTGCAGAGTTTTGGCCCAAACAACTCCTTAAAATTGAGGAGGAACTCATTACTATAAATGTGGTTTTGACACGTGTCGATTTTTTAAATATTCTTTTTTCTTTTTTGTTGAAAATTTGTCAATGTTGCTAGAATTTGACAAGTGTCAAAACCCCATTCGTTTAAAGTAGGATCCCCTCCTTAATTTTAAGTAGCCAAGCCATGCTCTTTGAGGGTATCTGTATCTTCTCTATGGTGCTCATCATGTACTACGCACAAACAAACTATTGAGCTTGCTCTTATACGAGAGATATACTTGGATTTTATGGACTAATAATAATTACGTTAATTTCTTCAAAGGTTATCTTTATACTTTTCCGCGACATTGTACTCACACTGAATGTTAGAAGGATCTTACGCCATCTATATTGACATTATTAACATAATTTAATTCTTAAGTCATGCATATATATAGTAGCTAGGTTTGGTTGGCAGCTTCTATAGGGCTGGCCTTGTGCAGCTACGCTCAATTATTTTGTCTACCGACATGTTAACCTACTTCCTTTGCTAGTAAGGTATGGCTCAATTGATTGAGCTCTTCCACCTCCACTCGTGTGGGCTGAGGTTTGAAATTCTTAGGCACCTAATGAATATTTGTATAAACCCCACTTCCCCAAATGCTTTTACTATAAAAAAAAAAAAAAAAAACCTAGTTCCTTCAAATCTTTGAGTTGAGGGACGATATATACCTCAAGCTTAACTCTTAATATTAATACTACTTTATGTACCCATAAGGATACACATAGAAACTAGAAAGGAAAAATCTCTGGCCAATTAACAAAAATACATCGTTGAGAGAACAAAGGCTGGGAGAGGGGCAAGACGAGGAAAATTGAGTCTCTTGGTCCGGTGGCAAGTGGTGTGGATAACAGGTGCATCAGTGAAGTTTTCAGCCAACCCTAGCTAGGGTGGGTGCTTAGTACAAGTAGTACAAGAGATTGGGAGAGAGGTGTGTTTTCATTTCCTAAGTTCTGCTTTATTTCTCCATCCTCTCTTCCACCACCTTCCTCTATGTGAAAACACGAATATGGCATACAATAATAATATGAAGAAAAGATTTCCCGAGTATCCCGATTATGACGAGATAAAGACATACAATAATAATATGAAGAGGAAAAGATTTACTTCTCCACATTTGATAATGTATTGTGCATATGATTGTGGTTTTGCAACTATCTTTCTTTATGAGTTTTGAAGTATTCGTGATTTTCTTTAATAATTTTGTAAGTTTCATGACTAACATACGACCCCAAATGAATATGTTAGTGAAGCAATCACAGCCGGTCAACTCTGCTTGAATCCCTTTGGAAAATCTCCCCTATAAGGATGGGTTGTACCCCTTAACCTTGTCATCACCTTCCGCTTCTCCCGTTCCTTATGCCCTTGTCACCACCTCCTCATCCACCTGGCACAACCGTCTTGGACACTCGTCTTCTTTAGTTCTCTCTCGTCTCCGCCCTCACTTAGCGTCTCAATTTCGATTAAATAAGGAATTTTGTACGGGTTGTGCTCTTAGTAAGTCAACCCAATTACCATATTCTCCAAATCCAAATCATGCTACCTCTTTATTTTCAATAGTTCATTCCGATGTGCGGATGTCATCTATTTCTTCTGTGAGTGGCTTCCGTTATTATATGTTATTTACTGATGACTTTTCTCGATATTCGTGGATTTATCCTATGAAACGCAAATATGAGGTTTTCACTCACTTCAAAACTTTCACAGCTATGATTCATAATATTTTTCACTCATCTATCAAGTTTCTCCAAAGCGATAATGGTACCGAATACACCAATCACGCCCTCACTGAGTTTTGTACCACTCATGGCATCCAACAACGATTTTCCTGTCCCCACATGCCCCAACAAAATGGCCTTGCTGAAAGCAAACACCGTCACATTGTTACCATGATCCGCACCCTCTTAGCCACCTCCAATGTTCCTCATCGTTTTTGGGTTGAGGCTGCACTCACTGCCGTTCACTTAATCAATTTACTCCCCACCCCTGTCCTAAATTGGGTCACTCCATATTCTTTACTCTTCTCTCGTCCTCCTATCTATTCTCACCTTCGTGTCTTTGCTTGTTCCTGTTTTCTGTTGAGAATATTTGTCCCACATTGAAATGTTAAGGGACCTAGCCTGGGTTTATAAGGAGTTGGGCTACTCCCCTCATCGCCAATTGGTTTTGGGGTGGAACCTCAACTTCCTTCATGGTATCAGAGCAAGGCTTCACGTGTTGGGCCCAACGGCCACACGTGCTCTCACGTCACCCAATATGTGTTGTCCACGTGTTAGGCTTGAAAGTTCGCCACACGTGCGGGGGCGTGTTGAGAATATTTGTCCCACATTGAAATGTTAAGGGACCTAGCCTGGGTTTATAAGGAGTTGGGCTACTCCCCTCATCGCCAATTGGTTTTGGGGTGGAACCTCAACTTCCTTCATTTTCCTCATCTTAGTCCGTATGTCCCAAACAAACTTCAAAGTCGATCCTTATTAGAATGTGTTTTCCTAGGCTATAGCCTTCACCACAAGGGCTACCGATGTCTTGACCCAAACACTGGTCGGGTCTATATCTCCCGTAATGTTATATTCAGTGAATTATGTTTTCCTTTTAAGACTTTACAGGTTTCTGCTCCAACTGCCACGGTTGAACTTGACATATTTCCACAAGGTGGTTTGTCTGCTCAATTACCCGCCATTACAACCACAACCCAGGCTTCACCTGTTGCCCCTGCTGGGCTGCCACCACCATTGATCTCCTTGCCATCTTCTCCAGGCCCACAGCCTCCTTCTGCAGGCCCACTACCTTCTTCTGCAGACCCACAACCTTCTTCTTCAGGCCCCCATGTGACTTTCGGCCCAAGTCCCACACCAGACCCCAATCCTTCTCCAGGGCCAAGCCTCTCTCATGTCCAGCCCGCTGCCTCTGTCCAGTTTACCGGCCCATCTTCATCCACATTTGCACATGCTGCTCTTCCATCCCCCGCGGCAGCCCAACCGTCTCATCCAATGACTACAAGACTTCGTGCTGGCATTCTCTAACCCAAAACTCGAACCGACGGCACTGTCCGGTATCCCCTTCCTCATGGATTAATTTCTGCTGTTGAATCTCATGAACCTACTTGTTTCTCTCAGGCTAACAAGCATGCTGAATGGCGTTCCGCCATGACTGAAGAAATCAATGCTCTTCTTAAAAATAACACATGGTCTTTGGTCCCTCCATCTCCCTTACACACTCCAGTTGGTTGTAAATGGGTATTCCGCATCAAGCGCCACTCTAATGGTAGTCTAGAACGTTACAAGGCTCACTTGGTTGCCAAGGGTTTTCACCAACAACCGGGTATTGACTATACCGAAACATTCAGTCCGGTCGTCAAGCTCGCCACTATCCGTACTGTCCTCAGTCTAGCTGTTTCTCGCAAGTGGTCCCTTCGCCAACTTGACGTTAAAAATGCATTCCTCCATGGTTTTCTTAACGAGGACGTCTACATGACCCAACCCCCTGGTTTTGTGGATCCTGCTCGGCCCCACTATGTTTGCAAGCTTCACAAAGCGCTATACGGTCTCAAACAAGCACCTCGAGCTTGGTTTCATCACATTAGCACATTTCTCATCTCCTTTGGATTCACACAGAGTCGGGCAGATGCTTCCCTTTTTGTTTATCATCATGGCACTCACCAACTATTTCTCTTGCTCTATGTGGATGACATTGTGCTTACAGGCAGCGATTCCGGGCTTCTCCAACAGTTCATCACTACTTTGGGACATGCCTTTGACATCAAAGAGCTTGGGCCTCTCACTTATTTCTTGGGTCTCCATGTTCACCACTCCCATGACTGCCTTCACTTATCTCAACAAAAATATGCGCATGACCTCCTTCAGCGCCATCAAATGCTCGACTGCAAACCCACTTCAACGCCACTTGCTGCCAAAACCACTCTGACAGCCGCTGAAGGTGACTTACTGTCCTCTCCCTCTGCTTACAAGGAAGTCGTGGGATGTCTTCAATATTTAACCATTACTCGCCCAGACTTGGCCTTTGTGGTCAACACTGTTGCGCAATTCATGAGCGCACCCCGTTCTTCTCATATGATTGCTGTTAAGTGTATATTGCACTACCTCAAAGGGACCATTGATTTTGGTTTAACTCTTCACCCTCAGTCTCATTCCACCCGCATCTCTGCGTACTCTGATGCTGACTGGGCAGGTTGCCCGGACTCCCGCCGCTCTACAATCGGCTACTTAATCTACTTAGGTAGCAACCTCATCTCCTGGTGTTCCAAAAAGCAACCCGCTGTTTCTCGCTCCAGTACAGAATCTGAGTACCGATCCTTAGCTCATGCATGTGCCGAAACCACTTGGTTATCCTCCCTTTTGGTTGAACTTGGTGTCCAACTCCAATTCCCCGTCCTTCTTCACTGTGACAATCTCTCCGCCACTTACTTGGCTGCCAATCCGGTTTTTCACGCACGCACAAGACACATTGAGCTCGATGATCACTTCATCAGCAAAAAGGTGGCCTTGGGCAGTCACCGCGGGTTTGCTTCATTCCCTCCATTGATCAAGTGGCTGACCTTCTCACCAGATCCCTTCCCAAAGTGCGCCACAATATTCTCCGATCCAAACTAGTCCAACCAAGCCCGTCTAGTTTGCGGGGGGGTGTTAGTGAAGCAATCACAGCCGGTCAACTCTCCTTGAATCCCTCTGGAAAATCTCCATCTTCATTGTCTTAGCTGTGATTGATTGTAATCCCTGATTAGTTGTAATTGATTGTAATCTCTGATTCTTACCTTTTGTAACCCACACCGATTGTATATAATCTGCTTCAATGATATTGAAATACTTACTGGGAAGTTTTTCCTTACAGAATCCATCTAGAGAGCCGACTTTTGTTTTAACCATTTTCTAAATGACAGCAATCATAGCCAAATTGGTGGTCATGAAATTGGTGGTACTTTTGGACTTGGACATGGGCGGCTTGACTTAATTGCTGAGAACCGCAAGTCATGCATGAAAAGATGCACTGATCGAAAGGCTAGGCATTTCCTTTTCCTTGAGATTGCTTGTGATTTCTCTGTAAGAATCTTCTTTGCTTAGTAGATTGCCTGGTCAGATGAAGTAAAAATAAATATTCATACAAAAACAAATGAAGTAATTTGATTTTGTTTGTTTTTTATTAACAGAAAGAAGGATGCAAACTAAGAACCTCTTTAGTTGAAATTAGTGTCGGCCCTGAATAGGGGCAGTCAGTGCAACTGCTCTGAGTCCACTCTCCAGGGGAGGGCCCAAATTTTTTTAAATTTTAATTTTATAAAGAGGTATATTATATTTATTATATATTCTTTTAATAATTTTTTTTTTTTACAAAGTAACATGGGCTGTTTTTCAACTCTTTTAAGCTCTAATTGATTGCAAATTTGGAAGTTTTAAGTTTGTTGTTGTGGAGGGGGATTTCTCAAATTCCAAGTTATGTTGTGTCTTTGTTTATTATTTGATGTATTAAAATTTCATTGGATTTCCTTGTACTGTTTCTGATTTCAAGTGGCAATGATTCCTTAAAAAACAAATATTTGAAAGTCAAAAAAGAAAAAGAAATGATTGAATTGTTACAAATATTTATCTTGTTTATGCATTAGATTTGAATGTATCAAGCGTAACCTCTTATTTTAGATTTTTATATATTGAAGTTTGAATTTACATAATTTATTTATCTTAAATGTTAAATTTGTAGTTAATTCGAATAAGTTAAATCTTGATTGAAAAATGAGATTGAGTCTGGCAAGGCTTTCGAATAAACTGATCATCATAGGATAAATGTTCAAATGGTTTACAGCAACGGCAATGTTTTGGGCTAGGTTGGCTCCACATTGGTTATGGCCTAAGATTGGGGCGAATAGAGAGGAAATTTAGTTTTTTTGCAGGAGGTGCGTGATACTCTTATTTCTTTACCAGATTTTCCTCCACATGGGGTTTTCATTGCAAGGTTTTAACGAGGCTACCCGAGGTGCACCTCTTTTCTCCATTTTTTTGGGTGTCCTTTTGTATCTCATATTGATTGTTACTTAAAGTAATAAAGATTTTTCGTTTGATTAAAAAAAAAAAAACAAAAACAAAAAGAGTTCAACTAATATAAATGTTGATAATTATATATTCATGATTAGTTCGATATCCAGTTATAGCTAGCCGATGAAGTTAAAGTATCGTGTAAATATGTTGTCGTTTGTAAAAAAGAAATATAAAAAAATCATGTTAAGCCTTGAACATATCCGTCACAATAAACGATTTTGTCGGAATGGAGATAGACCTAGTAGATGGACATATTGGTATCCTTAATTTAAGAAAAAAATTGTAATAGTAGATAAATTAATATATATGGAGCCAAAGTAATTGAACGTAGTTGGAGCCAAATTAATTTAGCAAAACGACGACTTCCAAATTTCATGATGCTGGTTTGTGGAAAATTGAGACTCATTAAAGATTACTTGAATGTCTTGTAGTCTGCAAAGATAGAAGACCAAAAAGACTTGAATCTGCACCACTTGTCTTTGAGGAAGAAAAGTCCAATAAGAAGGTTACATACGTATGCAAGATGACCAATAAAATGTCACCTGGGGTATGTATAAATTTTTATTTTTTTATTTTTTATACAAGTGATATTAGTGGCAAATTTTTTTGTTCATGCCCTGTGGAAAAGAAAATGTATATCCCCGAGTGTTGAAAATTCTAGCTTTGCTTGTTCGTGGCAATTTAGGGGGATCTAATAAAACACATTTCAATGGCCCTATAGTTCAGTATGTTAGCCTACAACCCAAACCACCAGATTGTAACTCATGATTCAATACCTTCTGTCACGTGTCAGTTAGTTTGGGATGAGCTAGCTGTTAGTCTCTGTTAACTTAATTGGGAAATTGGCTGCTTTACCCCTGGCTCATCTAATTTATTCACTAATATCCTTATTTTGAAACTCAATCACAAATGCCCCTTATAAAAACTCCTTATTGACAGCCTATTGCCCATCCTTCACTTCATTTTTTTTCCTCAGTTGTTGCTCTTCCTCTTCCTCTTCCTTTTCTTCCTTCTGCCAAACCTCACAAAATCCACCTCAACCATAGAATCTCCCCTATCTCTATCTCATCTTAGTTATATCTTCCAACTAGGAGCTGATTTCAACCTTAAAGTTGAACCCCAAATTTGGACCGGACCCTAGCCAAGGCACAACTCACCACCTCCGTTGTCGGCCTCCACAACGAAGCCATAGTGTTGACTTGCCACCTCCATTGTGGACTTCCACCACAAAGCCACGGCACCTTCCTTGTCGATCTTCACTGTGGTGAGTTCTTATATTGGTTTTGTTTTTGTTTACTTATTTATTTTTTGGTTTTTTTGATTGATTGAGATTATTGGGTGATTGCTCTCACCGTTTTGAATGATATATTAATAGGTTTTTATTGTGGCTTGCTGTTTCTGTGATTGAATGAAAATGACCAAATATTTCCTGTGGTTGTTAAGCTCTTGGACTTGGATACACTGTTATGATTTGTCTTTGAAATGATGTGTACATTGTTTTGTGATTGAGACTTGGACTTGCAGATCTCCTTAAAAGTAATGTATTCACTCTTTTGAATGATATTCGATATGAAACAACCTTGGACAGTCAAGGTTTGGCAATTTGTAAGTAGTTAGTTAGTAATAGGATACCCTAGGTTAATGGCTTTGGGTTGGATTTAACTTTAAGAGTTCTTAATACATGCCTTCCTTGCTAGAGCTTGAAACACAGCTATGCTAGCTGAACCATTTCACTTTGCATAATACTGATGTTCTAAAATTGTTGGTTATTAATGTTTAATTGATGTTTTATCTATATGGTTTATACACTAGTTTATAGATTTTTTATTGGTAGCTTAACATGTGTTAACAAAAGCAAAATTTTATGATGGTCAGAAATGGACAGAATTGCAATTTTGGTTTGCTACAATGGCAAATGGGTAACCTCAAAGAAGATGTGCACATATGAAGGGGGCGACTCAAAAGGCATAATAGTT